AGGGGAGATGGTGAGGAAGATTAAGGGGAGTATCTCAAAGCTGTGTGTTCAGAGTGAGCTGCCTTTTCCTTAGCCTGGGTGTCGGGGGGAGTTGGTTTGCAGGGAAGGGGCCGCTGGAGAACAGGATGGAGCTAAAGGCTCCCCAGGCAGGCGAAGAAAGACCATCGGCGATACAAGCTCGCAAATGGAAATAAGTTCTGGAACGTTCTTAGCAATCCGTTCCTCTCTCAATGTGACCACCCTCTCACACCCATCGAGGGGATGTCCGTAGGGGCAGGGGGTGGGATCTGAGGGGACCAAAGAGCTCCCTGTGTCGCCTTCACCCTTCATCCCATAGGACTCACGGAAAATGGCGACAGGGCGCTGGCAGAGGGTGGGGCCCCAGACGGGAGTTTCTCAACCTCAGCCCCACTGACATCTCGGACTATGTCATTCCTAACTGTGGGCCTGGCCTGTGCATTGCAGGCTGTTTAGCGACCTCGCTGGCCTCCAGCCAGCCTCCCCCAGAGTTGCGACAGTTAAAACAATGTCTCCACGGGGCGCCTGGGTGGCGCAGTCGGTTAAGCGTCCGACTTCAGCCAGGTCACGATCTCGCGGTCCGGGAGTTCGAGCCCCGCGTTGGGCTCTGGGCTGATGGCTCAGAGCCTGGAGCCTGTTTCCGATTCTGTGTCTCCCTCTCTCTGCCCCTCCCCCGTTCATGCTCTGTCTCTCTCTGTCCCAAAAAATAAATAAATGTTGAAAAAAAAAATTAAAAAAAAAACAACAACAACAACAAAAAAACAATGTCTCCAGACATTGCCAACAACCCCTGGGGAGAAAACTCACCCTTGACTGAGATCCACGGCTCCAGGCTCGTACTGCAGGCCCAGCTGGGATCACACTGCCCTCTCCTATTTACCAAATGTATGGCATTGGTCTCTCTGTGCCTCAGTTTCCTCATGTGGAAAATCGGGATAATATTAGCCTCCATGTCACAGAATCACTGAGAGGTGTATCAAGTAGGGAAATGCAGGTCTGGCACAAATAAGCACGAAAATGTGCTTCATGTTCTAGGCCATGGTGCCCTGGAGACAAACTTCCAGAATCTAGCTTTGTAAGTCAGAGAGGAGAAAACATGTGTTTTATTTATTTTTAAAATTATTTTTTTAAAGTTTATTTCTTTATCTTGAGAGAGACAGCATAAGCCGGGGAGGGGAAGAGAGAGAGAGGGGGAGAGGATCCCAAGCAGGCCCCAAGCTGTCAGGGAGATGCCTGACTCGAAGCTTGAAGCCGGGAGCCCTGAGACCATGACCTGAGTCAAATCCAAGAGTTGGACACTTCAGGGACTGAGCCACCCAGGCACCCCAAGGAGAAACTCTTTATCTTTGATGCATTAACTCTACCTCCAGGACTATCCCAAAGAAATAACCAAATGGGTGGGCCAACATTTAGGTAAGGATCAAAAATTATTCATAAAGCAAAAAATTATTTATGAAAACAAAACCAAAGCTCAAACTGAAGACAACCCACAGATTCAACAGTAGGGGACTTATCAGATGCACAATGACACATCCGTCTGATGGAATGTCACACAGATTTAAACAGCTTGTTGGAAATTATTTACTAATACAGGGAGCCACCGTAATGCAATGTCAAGTGACAAAAATTCACACAAAACTGTATGAACGTCATGAGTCTAAATTTTGGTTTGCTTATTTTCTTTTTTATTTGAGAGAGAGAGAGAGAGAGAGAGAGAGTGAGCAGGGAAGAGGAGCAGAGGGCCTGAGAGAGAGAGAGAATCTTAAGCAGGGTCGGTGCTCAGCATAGAGCCCAACTCGGGGCTCGATCCCACAACCCTGGGATCATGACCTGAGCCAAAATCAAGAGTTGGACACTCAACAGACTGAACCACCCAGGTGCCCCTTGTTTTACTTATAAAATAAAATGTCCAGGGGCGCCTGGGTGGCTCAGTCAGTTAAGCGTCTGACTTTGGCTCAGGTCATGATCTCACAGTTTGTGGGTTCGAGCCCCGCATCGGGCTCTGAGCTGACAGCTCAGGGCTTGGAGCCTGCTTCAGATTCTGTGTCTCCCTCTCTCTCTGCTCCTCCCCTGCTCATGCTCTGTCTGTCTCTCTCTCTCTCAAAGATGAATAAACATTAAAAAAAAATTTTTTTTAAATAAAATAAAATGTCCACAGTGGTCATTTCTGTGTGCTGAGAATACAGAAGAATTTTATTCTTTATCCCTAAATTTTCTACAGTAAATCTGTACTTATTTAAATAATTAGGGGGAAAAGGATTACAAGAATGTTTGTGCCTTCAAACTATGTATGGGAGGACTTTTGTTTCTGAGTTCTTTCAGAAGCAGAGAGGAGGGAAGAGAGGGGCGGCTCAGCCGGTTAAGCCTCTAACTCTTGGTTTCACCTCGGGTCATGATCTTGAGGTTTGGGAGTTCGAACCCCGCATCAGGCTCCGTGCTGACAGCGCAGAACCTGCTTGGGATTCTTCCTCTCTCCCTCTGTCTCTGCCCTTCCCCTGCTCGTGCTCTCTCTCTCAAAAGAAATAAATAAACTTTAAAAAAAAGAAAAAGAAAAAAGAAGGGAGAGAAAGATGACCATGAGAGAGAAGGCGTATCTTGAAGATATCATTTCTGACATAGCTCTGGGGCCAAGTACCAAATATAGCAGGAGAAATGAAAGGACGTGTCCCTTTCCTAAGGCTGCCACAGACTGGGTGGCCTGAAACAACGGAAGTGTATTCTCTTGTAACCCTGGAGGCTGGACTCTGAAATCAAGGCGTCAGCAAGGCCAAGCTCCCCCCTGTAGGCTCCCGGGGAAGAATCAACCCCTGGCTCACCTCCTGCAGCCTCTGGTGACTCAGGCAATCCTTGCCTGGCGACAGCTTGACTCGCATCTCTGCTTCTGTCACCACGCCACCTCTTCTGTGTCCTCTCCTCTTCTCGGAAGGATGACAGTCATTGGATTTAGCTCCCCCCCCCACCCCGCCCCCATCTAGGATGAATTCGTCTCCAGATCCTTTAACTGATTACATCTGCAGAGACACAGCTGTCAAATAAGGTCATATCGGAGGTTCCGGATAGACATGAATTTGAGGGGCACAGCTCTTCAACCTGCTACAGGGGACAGTCTTGAAAAACAAATTAAGGTTATCACAGGCAGGTGTATGGCAAAAATGATCGCTATGGAAAGTATAAAAGGGCATAGCGTGAAAAGCGAGCTTCCCGGGGCGCCTGGGTGGCTCAGTGGGTTGAGCGTCTGACTTCAGCTCAGGTCGTGATCTCACGGTTCCTGGGTTCGAGTCTGTGCTGACAGCGCGGAGCCTGCTTCTGATTCTCTGTCTCCTTCTCTCTCTGCCCCTCCCTTGATCGTGGGCTCTCTCCCTCTCTCTCTCTCTAACATAAATAAGCATTCAAAACAAAAAAAAAAGCAAGCTTCCCCCTCTCATCCCTGACCTCCAATCCAATCAATGTTACTGGCTTCTTGTCTCTACAAACACACGTGTCTTTCTCCTACACAAGTTCAAGTGTAGTATACAGTGTTCCACACCCTGCCTTTGTATTTACCAGTGTATGCTGGAGATCCTTCCCTCTGTTCACATGGATTTGCCTCATTTGGTTTAATGACTACATACCGTTTCATCGGTAGATAAACCCTAGTTTACTCAGCTGATCCATTCGGGGTGGTTTTCGATTTTCCTTTTTCCTTTTCTTTCTTTCCTTTAATTTTTTTATGTTACAAATAATATTCCGATGCTTCCTATTTGTATCTGCATGCTATGCCCGGCTCTTTTCTTTTTTTTTAATAGACTTTTTTTTTTTTTTTTTTTTTTTTTTTTTTTAATGGGAGGATTAGGTAAGTTGTTTTTCCAACGTTTATTTATTTTTGGGACAGAGAGAGACAGAGCATGAACGGGGGAGGGGCAGAGAGAGAGGGAGACACAGAATCGGAAACAGGCTCCAGGCTCCGAGCCATCAGCCCAGAGCCCGACTCGGGGCTCGAACTCACGGACCGCGAGATCGTGACCTGGCTGAAGTCGGACGCTTAACCGACTGCGCCACCCAGGCGCCCCTAGAGCAGTTTTAAATTCACAGCAAAATGGAGGGGAGCCTAAAGAGATTCCCCGTATGCCCCCTGGCTCCCCGCACACGCAGAGCCTCCCCCACTATTAACATCCCAGACCAGAGTGGTCCACTCCTTGCAGATGGTGAGCCTACGCTGACACATCGTTATCACCCAGAGTCCACAGTTGGCATCGGGGTTCACTCTTGGCGTACATTTTACGGGTTTGGGCAAATGGATAATGACACGTGTCTACCGCTATAGTATCTGACAGAATAGTCTCCCTGACCTAAAAATCCTCTGTGCTGCACCCATTCATTTCTCCCTCTCCCCAGCCCCTGGCAACCAGTGATCTTTTTACAGCCTCCAGAGTTACGCCTTTTTCCAGAACGTCAAGTCATATGGTGGGAATCACACAGAATGTAGCCTTTTCAGACTGGCTCCTTCTGCTTAGTAACATGCATTTAAGGCTCCCCTATGTCTTTTCATGGCTCGGTAGCTCATTTCTTTTAGTGCTGAATAATATGCCTTTATCTGACGGGACCACACTTCGTTTATTCACTACCGAAGGGCATCTTGGTGGTCTCCAAGCTTTGGCAATTATGAATGAAGTTGCTATAAATATCCGTGTGCATGTCTTTGTGTGGACCTAAGTCTTCAACTCCTCTGGGGAAATATCCAGGAGCGTGATTGCTGGATCGTATGATCAGAGTATGTTGAGTTTTGTGAGAATTTCCCAGAGGTCTTTCAAAGCGTCTTGGCATTCCCGTGGGCAATCAGCGATGGTTGATATGGTGGTTGACATGAACCGCCGAACTTAATCAGAGCCCCCCAGCTTTACCCCCACTCGTTTGTGTGCGTATTTAGTTCTATGCAATTTTTTTCACATGTGTGGATTTGTGTGGTCAACACCACAAGTGAGATACAGAACACTTCTGTGACATGGATCCCTTGTGCCCCCCCCCCCCCCCCCGCCCCTTTATAGATACAGCCACCTCCTGGGCCTGCTCTGACTGTCCATTTTAACATTTTCTGGCTCGCTATGTTTCAGACAGATCTCTTGTAAACAGTGTATATAGCTGGGCTTTGCTTTCTAAGCCAATATAAGGGTGTTCTCATCTTGAGAGAGGGTTTTTATCCTGTTTGTGATTACATCATTTTAATCACGAAAAATTACTGCTCCTCACTGTTTATTGGGGTTGGCATTGTCCTAGCTATTTCACAGATAACGAAAAGGAAACAGAGCAGTGAGTTAATTTTCTTGAAATCACAGAACTGGTAAGTGACAGAGGGGGACTTCCCACCCACTCTGCCCTACTGTCTCTATACTAACTATAGGTGAGTTTCCTCTTCTGGAAGGTTAAAACCATGTCTCTTCCCAGCCGGACGCCCTGCCCTTCTGAGTATGGAGAAGAGCAGAGACACCGCTTGGACCTTCACCACAGTGGAGGCCCCTCACATCTGCCAAGGTAAGCTTTTCTCCATCCCAGCCATTTTCCTTAGAGGGGAGAACAGAATCCAGTGATGTCTTTGTAAGAGAAAGACGAAAAACGGAGTGATCCAGAACATTGAAAAGCACAAGGATACACAAAGACGTGGCTCCCAAAATACCAAAGTCCTTGTCCTCCTTGTGTTTCGCCCGCTGCTGCTTCTCCTTTTCTTGCTGCTTTCTTGTCTTCTTCCCGGGTCTAACTGATGGGGTACTCTGGGGTTCGGCCTGGGACCATCCCTGGCCTCTGCTGGTACTCTCTCCCTAAGGCTCTTATGCCATTTCATGGCTTCGAGCGCTTTCTACACAGATGGTTCCCACATTTCATCCCCCAGCCGGAACAGGAATCATACATCCACTGCCTACTCAAGCATCGCTTGGATGTCTCACGGGCACCTCAGACTTAACCCACCCCCAAAGTGAGTCTGAAACGTTCACTGCAACAGTCCTTCGGGCCCCAGACCTGACTCACCCTGAAGTCATCCGGGACTCTGTTCTCCCACATCCCACATCCCCTGATGAATCCTGTGGCTTCTTACAAATATAATCCTTGCCATCACTTCTATCAACCTGGTCCCCTGCAGCTGTCCCCTCTCACTCTGACTATTGCAACAGCTTCTAACTGGCCTCGCTTCCTCTTTTGCAAGTCTAGAGTCTATTTTGCAGCCTGAGTGATCATTTTTAACATATAAGTGAGATGAGGACCACTACTGGCTCATACAGTGTCCTGGGGCTTATGAGAAAAAGCTCACCCACTTAACAAGTGTAGATATAGCTCTGAGGACGCCTGGCTCCACAAATGGAGAGAAACTTCATGCAATCAAGCAAGCAAGCAATCAAAGTGCTCCTTTCTCCCGATAGACACAGCACCTCCCCCCATCCCTGGCCCCCAAGGGCTCACACCTTGGCAAGTCGATTCTGGGGTAGATTTTAGATCCCAGCTGTATGCTCAGGCAGGACCTTTTACAGTTCTCATAATACTAATATAATATCAATATGTCCGTTGGAATCTAACTTGTAAAAAGGGCCTTATAAATTGTTCTCTTGTGAAATGATCTTTTCATCGTTATAATCAATTCGGTCACAACAGCCAATGGCTGGAAACAATCCAAACATACCAATCAGTGGAAGAATAGATCAATAAATTGCAGTGTATTTATACAATGAAATACTCCATAGCAATCATTTAAAAAAATTTTTTATGTTTATTTTTGAGAGAGAGAGAGAGAGAGAGAGAGAGGATGCGAGTAGAGGAAGGGGAGAGAGAGAGGGAGGCACAGAATCTGAAGCAGGCTCCAGGCTCTGAGTTGTCAGCACACTGCCGGATGCAGGGCTTGAACTCACAAACCGTGAAATCATGACCTGAGTCGAAGTCAGATGCTTAGCCGACTGAGCCACCCAGGTGCCCCACAGCCATCATTTTTAAAATCAGTGATACCCACCACATGAGCGCATTTCATACACATCATATTGAGTGAAGGAAGCTAAAGAAGTTAGTCCATTCATGTGAAATTCAAGAGTAGGCAAACTGACCCATGGTTATAGAAGTCAGAAACCACTGTCCTGTATCTTGATCTGGGTGGTGATTCCTCGGGAGCGTATATAAGTGAACGTTTACTGAGCTGAGGACTTTACTTTGTCTACTTCCTGTATATAAGCTGCCCCTCGATATAAAATGTACAAACAATAGTTTGCAAGTATTTAGTACGTTGTGAGTTTTTCATTATTTCGATTTTATGTAGTCTAAAATCCCTCCACAAACCTTGAACTTCACAAGGATCAGGGCACCGGCAGTAACCTTGCTTTCCATGTGCCCAACCAGAAGGCTGTCTGACTGGTGAGGACACCTCTCATTCTCCCATGGGCAGAACGAGCACGGCTTTGGTGGCCCAGGAGCTGGTGGATGACCAGGCGGGGAAAGGCTTCGAGGCTGGCATCGGTTTGCAGAGGTAACTGGGAGAGCTTTGTCCCCGGGGAAGGCCGCTTCTGCCGAAACGTCCTGGGCATCCTCTTGATACGTGACGAGGAGAAAAAAGGGACTATGCTAAATATTTTGGACAGAAGAAGCGAGATCCCGTCAGGTGCATGACCCCGGGCGATAGGCCTCAAAGGGCAGCAACTGCCCCCCTCGCAGAGGGCAGGCTCGTGAAGGCTCACACATCACCAAAAAAGCCCCTTCGTGGCCCTGCATTGATGAACTCGGGCCCAATTATCCGTTCATCGGCAGAAGCCCCCAGCAGCTTGCGGCCCAAGGTAGAAAATCAGCATATGTCCGCTGAGTGAGTTAGGGCATCTACGCTGTGTGGTGCCTCCTCCAGTGGGACTGCAAGTCTACACCCGTCAGTGGGCACCGCCGGCTCGTGACTTTGTAGTGAGCACAGAGTGGGGGTGTCAACTCTGGCCCTGCTCGCCCTTCTCCTCTTTGTCTCTATTCACTTGAGGAAACACAGTGAGCAGGCAGGGCTGCGTTGTGGGATCCGTAAAGCTTAAGGTTCCTCGGCAGTGCCCGCCTCCTTGCCTGCATCCCTCCCCTTTTCCACGGCCAGCACCCTCCGCCCCACAACCTTCTGCTCCGTGACCTGATTTGTGGCTGCTGGTTAACTGATCACTGGGCCTAAATTTTCTAGTTTATTAGCGCTAAGGGGTTTCCTTGGGAGTCTATTTCGTTTTTAACCTTTCCCATTAAGAAATTGGTGTGTGTGTGTGTGTGTGTGTGTGTGTGTGTGTGTGAAGAGAGAGAGATTCAACAGTATAAGCATATATACTTCAGTGAGGAGTTCCTGACGTCAGCTGACAGAGGAGAAAGAAACAACCGCTCCTCATGCGCTCCTCAGGGCAAGTCCCCCTTCCCTCTCTGGGCTTCTGTTGCCTCTGCTGAAAAGTAAAGGAGGCAGCTTGGGTCTTGGCTGGGGTCCCTTCCAGGTCTGATTGCCTCCTCTGGGCCAGGGAACCTGTGTCGTCACCAGGCCTCCTACGCCCTCCCTGGTGGAGCGATGGCTCTTGGAGTCCATTTGCTCTTGCCCGATACCGCTCTCCCGTAAGGTCAGACTCCGCTGGGGTGATACTTTGTACCGTGAGATACTGGGGAGGAGAAGCCTGGGTCCCTTTGTCCCTGACGTCTTCCACGAAGGACCAATCCCGTCTGTTTGAGTGGCCAAGTGAAGCTGGCCACGTGCCGAGGAGAACCTCCAGAACGTTGGTGATAACTCACCTCAGTCCTCTTGGTGTCCAACTCCTGGTGGAAGCAAAGGTCACCACAGCAGCCAAACTCAAGGTCACGGACGTGTAGGCTGCGTTGTACAATATGGCGCCTCCTTCCTCTGACTCGCCTCTGCGTATACGGGACCCTCAACCTGGTCTTCTCTTTCTCCTGCGTTTCCCACCCCGGTCCCTCCGTTAGTCCCATGTTGCTCATCTTGACTCAGATCTTACCATTCCCCCACTGCCCTTTCCTGGGTGACCGTGTCTCTGAACAAGGCTGAAAATGTCCCTCAGGACATTTGTCCCTCCAGAAGCCCCTCTTACGTGTTTCTTCTCTTTACAGAAGGAGCAGCTCCCAACAGCGTTCTAGGACTCTCCACAGTTGGGTCAGAGGTAACAGAGGTGTCAGGGAGAGGCAGGAAGGACTCAGAGTCAGGAGTGGCGAGAGCATCCAGAAACCGCAATGGGCCTAAGAGTGTGACTTTGCCACCTGGGAGACTGAAGCCAAATCTTTATTTCACTCATCCACAGGGACCAGGATGACATTCTTCCATGTGAAGGTGTGCAGCAAGGAGAGGAGGGTCTGTCACCTGAAGAGATAACATTTTTGGAAGAGTTCCCCATCGTGAAGGAGGAGCTAGAAGCAGGCATCAGAAAGCTCCACGCCCTTGCAGACCACATCGACACAACCCACAGAACACTCACCAAAACCAACATGGCGGCCAACTCCATGGCGGTGGTCTCAGGAGCCATGAGCATCCTGGCTCTAGTCCTTGCTCCAGCAACAGCAGGAGGAAGTCTGATGTTCTCTGCTGCTGGTAAAGGTCTGGGGACAGCAGCTGGGGTCACCAGCGTCTTGATCAACATTTTGGGACACTTTCGAAATCAAGAAGCCCGAGCTCAGGCCAGCAGCCTAGTGCCCACCCGTGGCCACGAGGTCGGGGAGCCCGGGGGGCAGAAGGCGTCTTACCTCATGGCTGTTGGAAAGATGGCTTATGATTATGGAAGTGCCATCAAGGATATTAAGAAGGACATCCGCGCCCTTCAGATAGCTAGAGCCCACCCACGTCTGGCCACTGCTGCTAAGCGTCTCCTGACCACTGGCCGAGTCTCGGCCCGAAGGAGCAGGCAGGTGCAAAGGGCCTTTAAAGGCACGACGCTGCTGATGACGACAAACATTCGCTTGCTGGGGAGTGCAATGGCGGGCTTATCCCTCGGCCAGGACTTGACCGCCCTCCTGAAGGACTGGAAGCGACTGAAGGAAGGAGCAAGGGCGAAGTCTGCGGAAGAGCTGAGGGCCCAGACCTGGGAGCTGGAAAGGACGCTGACAGAACTCACCCAGCTCTATGAGAGCCTGAAGCGGAGGGTGAGGCTGACATCTCCCTCTTGGGTGGAGCTGGGGGAGGGAGGCGGGAAGTTTGAACTGGGACTTATGGGCACCAAGGCTTATGGGAAAGGTGTTGAAGGAGCCGGGGCGCGCGCGCATGCGCGCGTGTGTGTGTATGTGTGTGTGTAGTTTGCTTGGATGTTCCTGAGGACGTGGGGCAGACGGTGGCCCCGAAGGTCCAAATGACGTCGGGGGCATCTTGATGATAATGGCGCCTGTCCTGGACAGCCCTGGTCATGCCTTCTATTTCTTTCTCAGTGCTCTAAGAGGGTCTTCCCGGTTGAACAGAAGAGGGCACTGAGCCACACGGAGTGTTGTGGACTGGCATGTGTCCCCTGAACTTTCGTGATTCAAGTCCCAATGCGACTCGGTAGAGGTCCCAAAGAGGGCCTTTGGGAAGTGATTGGGGCTGATTCAGGTCTCAGGAAGGGGTGATTCTATACGACTGTGTCCTAAGCGGAGGAAGGAACACAAGAGGGCTCTCTCTCTCTGCCTGCGCCCGCACAGAGGAAAGGCTGTGGGAGCCATCAGCAAGCCCGGAGGGACATCTCACCAGGAACCCAATGGGCCGGAGCCTCCAGAAAAAGGAGAAAATACATTCCTGTTATCCAAGGCACCGGCCTGTGGTGTTCTGCTAGGACAGCCCCAGCTGGCTAAGACGGGGAGCTTCTGAGGTTCGCCAAGTTCTCAGCTGGGTGGTGACAGAGTCAGGATACACAGCCAGGAAGCCTGACCGCAGAAGCCCCCGGAGCTGCCTGCCAGGCTGAGCCGGAGCCCTCTTTAGCTTTCCTGTGACTGCTGTTTTCCTTTCTTTACAGAAACTCTTCCAAGAGGAAAGACCCAGGAGCTCATCTTCGGGAGGAGCCACGGGGGTCTCTGCCCCAGCCCCCAGCCAGGCGTGGGGAAGCAGGACCCCAGGGGACACAAGAGGACGAGGGCAGGCTGAGCCGCCGGGCCTCTGAGCAGAATTAAAAGGGGCAGGGCGGAGGCGGGCTGGTTGGCAGAAGGGATGCCTGGAAACTGAGCAACCGGGAGGTCCACCTGGGTCCCGAGGGCGCTGTCGGCTGGTGAGGGTGGCCAGGGCCATCTGTCCTGCCTCTCCTTTGCCACCCGGCTTCTTCATTGTCCCCCACTCTTCCCTGGGGAGCCACCTCATTCCCACTGCTTTGTCAGCACCCCGTTCGCTCATGTGCACACAGGCTCTCTGCTAAGCGGGGACCATGAGACAAGGAAGGTCCCTCAGGTGAAGGTCACCTTGGGCTCACCTTGCGCTCACCGGCTGCCTTGCTCTGCTCTCTTCCTGCCCCTGCCCTGCAGTAAAACCCTGGGTTTGCACACACAGGGATGTCACCGGAACCTGCCGGACCAGATTCCATCAGGAGCCCTCCCTTTCTCCCCAAGTGCTCTGCGCAACTTAGGACCTCTCCAGGCTTCCCCATTCACCTGTCTCTTCTTCTTTTCTCCTTTTTTATGTTTTAGCTGCTATTTTGAAAGCAGTGCATGGACATGAGGTACAACTTTTTTTAAAGTTCAGGAAAGTAAAAACCAGGCGTTGGAAACAATGCATCAACCAAGGGTGACCACTGTTGGCAGCCGGGTGTGGAATTTCCTTCCCGTGGTTACTTGCTTTGGGTGTTAAAGTGTAGCGGTCATTAGACTGCGTGCGGGCGGGGGGCGGGGCTTCCTCCAGGCTGCCTTTACAGAAGTTTTTTTTTTCTGCAAACCAATGAGTGGTCTTGCTCTCATTCTCAATTCCTTCATTTGCCTACAGATCTAGCACTTTGCATTTTGCTGTTTTCACTTAACGATATTTTCCTGCCCTTCTATATTTCACTTGGTTTTTATAGACTTTTTTCGTGTGTTGCACAATATTCTCTTGATTATATGTAGTCTTTTATTTTTTTTTTAATTTTTTTAACGTTTATTTATTTCTGAGACAGAGAGAGACAGAGCATGAATGGGGGAGGGGCAGAGAGAGAGGGAGACACAGAATCAGAAGCATGCTCCAGGCTCTGAGCTGTCAACACAGAGCCCCACGCGGGGCTCGAACTCACGGACCGTGAGATCATGACCTGAGCCGAAGCCGGAGGCTTAACCGACGAAGCCACCCAGGCGCCCCATATGCAGTCTTTT